CCCTTTTGTTGCACGAATAATAGCCAGTTTATGGTAGGAGGAGGCCGAGAACTTGTTATTCTGTCGGTTCGATCATATTTCAATTAAAATTTAACTTCAACGCACTGATCACATTGAGAATTGGTTTTTACCAGTCCCAACCAGAAGGTACTTGACCCTCAAATTAGTAATCATGTTTGCTGTTTGAAATCTTTGTTTGAACCTTTTCTATAATTTTCTATCAATAAAAATTCTTGGAGATTTTAACAGCTTGAATTTAGTCGACACTCCGCAATTTAGTAGAGCCTGATGGGCTTCATATCAAAACCGGTTCTCGGTATTGAACACTGAAAATGTAAAAACTTTCAATTTTCACTAATGACTCCCCCCTCCTAGTTCCTTAAGTAACAGGTGGAATTTAATATTCCGCTACGTCACTTCACTATTGACAGGCCCCTATTAACAGAACCACTTACGGGATTGTATATTATACATAGATATCTGACTATATGTATGGCATTTCAATTGTAGGTAATTTCCTTGTGACACAGCCGTCAGTAATCCTATCTGGATACATTACAAAAGCTTTTAACATTTTAATGGTAATTCATCTGCCGATCTTATCGAGGCCGAAGTCTAGTTGGGCGGATGGCTTTTTGGTACCTTTTGAGGTACCGATGCCCATTAGTGATCGACACTTCTTGGGTTTGGTTTGTTTGAACGAAGCTTCAGGAAAGGCAAGTGTTGAAAAAGCCGCAGAGCCGCCGACATTCATACACATTTAAATAGATGAGATATTTCGTTGACCAATAAGTACCTACAAGACGTTGGCAAATAAACCATCGATTACAGCTAGATTTCAAATATGCAGCCTAGATACACAAAAACAGTCGTGATTGTAACCAAATCGATCGTCATCTTTTTTCTTTGGCCTTTAATAATGTTTCTAGGGCGGGCATTATGATTATTCGAATTCTCCCATTTGAGCAACAATATCAGAAAGGCCGGCCATTGCGTTAGGTAGATGGAAAGGCGCAGTTATAATTACAAATTTTAATTCAAAGCCGGTTGGAATTTACTAACAAATTGGTATTATGCAAATGGAGAATCACGTTGAACAATGATGTTAATGTAGCTTTGTTGTTCCCCGGTTTCTTTTTCGACGTTCTTTGTGCCTGGACGTGTTGAAAGGAGAAGAGTAATCAGTGTGGGGTATAAAGTTGCCTCCAGGGGTTTACGAGGACTACGAATTGTATTAAGATTACGGAACATCCCGGCCATCAGATGCGAAATGACGTTGCTGAAATATCAAATTGTCCTCTTTAATGCATCACCGGAAAGATCACACTGTTTCAATCACAAATCACGCTCATCCAACGTAAAGTTAATTAAGATTATTTTAAGAACAGCACACATTGGGATTTAGTTTGAGCCCAATAATAAGAGATGTAATTAGCGACTGAAACTGTTGCATATCATCAATAACAGTGTGACCAAGTTAATAACTATTTCCAGCAGCATGTACAGGATGTGGCTTGCCCGAATTATTTTCATTTACAATCAATCTTTTCGAGGCTCGCTTTACGAGTTGGTGCATTTTTCAGCTGGACATAGACGTAATACAAGCTTAAAGGCTTAAAACTTAAGTTCGATGGTAGAGGATTCCGGCCAATTTTACACTGTCGGTGCATGGGATTAGAAGCCCTAGTAAAATTCCTGCAGAAATAGTAGAATCACTTCCAGTGCAATTAGGAGTTGTGAAGAACTTTCCGAAACTAAAGAAAATATATGTTAGGCTGACTCCCAAGTGTGTCCTGATCATAAGTGAACTGAAATCGAATTAAGGCGATGACCACTTTAGAAAATCTTAAAATGCTAATACATTTCACCCCTTAATGAAATTCTACTTGGTTTGCTTGTAGGCACGCAATTCAGTACTTAATTATGCACGTCGTGTAAGCAGTTTTCTTATGTGCCCATACTTGCATGTCGATTTTAGAGATATTAGAAATGGCTAATGAACCGGTAATTCAGATAATAATATTCAACTTGAAACTTAATTGAACAATGCTTTTCCCAAAATTAACACATTTTGATCAAAAACCGTTTTTACCATCGAACATTTCACACAAATAAAACCTAATTAATCGAAGGAAATTTTTTCAGGGGCGAAGCCAGAAGGGTGGTCATGGGGGTCATTTCCCTTCTGCTGGGTTTCTGTCGACTAACGATAATTTTTCTTTTTTTTTGTCATAGACAACAAAAAACTGAATTTCTACAATATGACTTGAAAGCTGGATCCGCCTCTGTCTGTGTCGACATTTCATAAACATTCGTTGATCAATCTATTCAAACAGAATTTGCTGATTGAAACTTAAATTGTTGTTGGGCGACTCAAGATCGATTTCTTCACGATGACTTTCCGATTGTGATTTTATGGGTTTTGTTTCTTTTGGCTCCAATTACATACGGATTTGGTTGAACGAGTTCAAAAGAACCTGCTGTTGCATTTGTATTAAATAAAATCATCAAATGTGTTAAAGTTCCTTGATGCAAGTACCCATTTAGCAGGAAAAAGCTCGTTCAAAGCAAATCTGCTGTGGTTGAACACCAGGAATACAATCCGGAATTTCCGGTAAGCGTCTTACGAGCGTCCCAATGTAAATATCCCTTACACGGAAATATCTATCTGAGTGTATAGATAACAAAGAAATAAAGTCGGGGGTATATAGCTAGAGGTATTGTACGGATCTCGAGCTATTATTGATGGCATCTCGCCACACAATAGTGCCTGTACCCATATAAAAACCTTCTCATTTCACGGACATTATTCGTTAAAGAAAAACGTTTTCTTTGGGCTTTTTATGATTTGTTCAGGTCCCGATGATTAGTGGGAATCATTCCATCAAAGTGGAAACGGAGAAAACACCAAAATAATCTAATACTTCTACTATTTCGTTTTTTTCATCACCTGCCCCGTTTAAACGATGGAAATTGGAACCAACAAAGACAGATTCGAAATGCCTAAATGCGGCGTGAAGTGCGTAGAGAACTCATTAAAATGTGCTTTGGCTTGAAGGTATCAGATTCCTATACCTACGTAGAGTCGAAAGTGAGAAAGCTTAAAGGCAACAAGGTGTGAACATTTAATTAGTAACATTTTCCCGGGTATTGTATATTTAATAATCTCGTTAATTGACCATAAATGATGTTTATTTCTGAACAAACGTTGATCTTTTGCAGATTTTGTTGGGCTATTAGCAGGCCGCAAAAATGTCACTAACCGTATTTTAGGTACTCGGCAATAAACTGAAATACGACCGTAAAACAACTGTTAAGCAGCAACAGCAACCGGCTGATCGTTATATAGTTACTAGCGGAGCAGGGTTGCCAGGTCCGAAAATTGAGTTTTGGTAGATAAGCTCGACACTTCGGTAGACTCATTTTTCTTTCATTATTAAGGGCTCCATCGAATTGTACGAACTAAACACTTCTACTTATTTTAAATAAAAATATCGCCTCAATTATCGTCTTCCAAATAATCCTTATATAAAATAGATAACACAATCTTATCTTCAATTTCAAAACTATGACAATTGTCGCTACCAATATTGAATTGGTGTAAAGTAAAGATGAAATTGTATTCGTTTTTAGCTTATTTCTCAACTTAGTTTTCATTAGATTAACCTGTGAAAATATCCGTTCAACATTGGCTGATGAGTGAGGTAGAATAAGCTGGTTACAAATAAAATTGGAAACACGAATGTATCAGCTTCATATTTCAATATTTGTACTTGGCTCCAAAAATATTCAATATTTCCAGAAATTCTTTTAATTTCTTTAGCATTTCGCAACCGACGTCATTCTGTGTCCAGACCTTGATTACGAAGCAACAGGTATTTGCGCAATGTTAATTAGGCAGATTACCTTGAAAAACATTGCTGCCGTATTTCTGATATAGTTTTTTACAAATTTCTCAGTTTTTAATAACCATTAATTTCTTTTACTAGTTTTACTGTACTCCTATAACACCGCCAGACAACACCCCCATAGGAATGACGCTAATTTTTAATCACCCTGTATATAGATATAATTTAGTTGAATATATCAAATTCGATGCTAACATTGAACAAAAAATGTTTTTGCACTATGATTTTGCCACCGGCTTCATAGCAAATAAGGAAAGGAGTTGAAAGCGTTTTTTTGAAGTTGGGGCTCACGCAACTAAAGACCAACGGTACCAAAGCTGATAGCACGATCTGGACGGCGGCAAAATTGTGCTAATTAGAACAAAGTTTAATTTGAATTGGTGTAGGTACTTAATGAAACCCCCGACAGCTTATCGTCTGATCACCCAGATGACAACAGGCAGCTCTCAGAATTCGAAAACGCGCCTTTATTGCCGGCCACATACAAAACGATGCCGTCAACTGTTTGCAGTTTTGTGTACGGAAAACCCTCGACTCTGAAAATTAATTAAACTTAGTTGTATGTTGGCGTTGCTATTAAGGGCTGAGACAACTAATTCAACCTAATCAAATTTTAAGCTATCCCAGCCAGTTTATTCCTGATTTTATGTACTCGACATTCTGAGTAGTTCACTGGGGAATTTCTGTGTTCTGTGGAAACAATTTGGTTAAATTGCTCATAAACCAGACTGGCCTGGGATTTGAGTTTGAAAGTTTTACTGAAGTTAATTGAGCATGGTGGGAGTCATGTTCGGATTAATCCACTTCCAGTAGATACTGAAGCCTATAGAAGCAAACATTCTCTTCTTTATTAAAGTCTTGATGATTTAAGAAATCAACTAGTTCTCAGTCCTGTTTGTAGCTGAATAAATATTGAAGGAACCGCGTTGCAAACATACCTTTAACCATAACGAATCAATCAGCTTTGGTGATATTACCTAAACCGAAGAGCCACGCTGACTACGGCCTTATATAAACCATTTCATCACTGCTAGATTACTAATAAATCCACAAGTCTCTTGCTAAAACCATTTCCAATTTCACTTGTTACAGATAATGCCAAAGCATCGGCCAAACTGAGCGAAATAGTCTGGATAAAGCAAAATGGAGATCTACCAAATGGTCTTGATAGTTGTAAGTAGTGCAGTGCTGTGTGTTCGGGCTGCGCGCTGGTCTCATTCGACGTATTTGAGCCCCGATTATCGATTGTTGTGGTCGCTGGGACCTGGACCTCAGGATATCACTTTCGAAGTCCAAGTGAAAACCCTGGGATATGTGGGTTTTGGATTCTCCAAAGACGGCAGAATGGCCGGCTCTGATATGGTTGTTGGATGGGTGGACCATGGACAGGTGTATTTCCAAGTAAGATACTGTTCTGTTTATTATTACTATTATTATGTTATTTTGCTTGTTTATTAATATATTATTATATACCCATGTATAATAACTGCGAATTGATGGCAGTCGAAGCGATTGATCAAAGCTGACCCACGCGCGTTCTTAATGAAATAAAAAGCCAGAACAAAGCGCTATTTCATAAATCCCACTGATAAATTATGTTGGGGCTGCGTAAAAATTAAATGAGGCCAACAAATGCGGCCTGGGCGCGCAAAGAAATATAGAAAGAGATATTGAGGGGTCGAGGCAAAGTGGTAAATTCGACAAGACCGGTGAGAAATCCTCGACGTGGCACTTTAACCCCCTCGAAGATGAGCTTGATGGGAAAAAGGATAATGAATCAGTTTTTATGTGGATCTACACGCACGTAGTCATTGTTCCTTCGAACAGTGGCGTGGATGACCCTACGTCCATTCCCGACATTAAAGCTTTTCACAGTTACCCCACTGATTAATTTTAAACAGCAACTACATAATTCATCGCTTTGTTATATTCCACAGGCGTTGGGTCAAATAGAGAGAGACGAAAAAAAAAGACCCGCACATTCCAGGCTACAGAAGGGCCGCCCAGTTGTATATTACCCAGGTTCTTTATTTGACGCTTTGTTTGGATCTGAAGCTCGAACACTTTGGTCTTAATTACTTTATGAGCCAGTTTGTATAAAACACCGCATATGTAATTGATCGACAAATTATACCGGATGCCAATTAAAAAGCCTATGGAGTGTTTCAGTATTTGAGAAGTGGGTTTCGTGGGCATTCTGGGCCCTGGGTAAATGAAAAGCAATTTTTTGAATTTACAATTTCCAAAATGTATCGAATATTGCTGTTATTTAGACCGCTTCATGTGTAATTTGCTCTATATGGTTCTTGGCCCGTTTGGCTGCGTTGCTCGTCCCGAAATTACTATACTTATTTAATAAATTAAATCGTTATCTTCAACAAATTCTTCCGGCGCAAATAATAGTAATTTTATTGTTGTTGGTGTGGTGTGAGATCGACTCAATTTGCGGGCCGGCCACGATTATATCTCGGAAATTGAAAGGAACATGCCTGGGCAGCCTTAAATTAAAAGATTCGAAATTTCGATACGATTCGTTTATGCCCCCGGAAATATTCTCGGTTATAGTAACAATTAGACCAAGTTGGAGGCTTCAAATGGGGCGAAAATTGCCGTAATTTCCTCCACATTGTCATCGGCCATAATTCTGAAATGTAAAATTCAAAAGTCCATTTATTATTGATAGCGCCGCAGGAACAAGAAAGACGCGACCAATATATACGCTGGTAATGGCCTGGCTGAAGAATGTAAAACCTTTGTTGGGGCGTCGCTTTCTTAATGACTTCTCTGCAAACATTTAAGGCGCTGTTGCAACAGGAAGAATATAAATCAAATCAGTGATTAATACCTGCAAGTTTTGCTCGGTGCTATGGCCCTGCCAACCGTAAATCCTGTCTTTCTGCCACCCAATCGCGGCTTTTTAAACGATCGTTTCAAACTGTTGACCAACTGATGGTAGCTATCAAGTTCGGTTTAAAATTAACACGGCTCATAACTTCTTGGCGACTCAATAATTTTATGTAACTAGAAGTTTTCAACATTTTCTCTGTTGTTTCACGTCTTCAATTTTACCATTCAGAAGTTTTTATGACTTTGCTTTGGTATAGTTTTATTAGTAGCCACTTTGGCAGGTTCTATTGATTCGCTCGAAGAAAATCCTTCATGCCTATAAAGGCGGGGCATGTCCTCGTTCAGGAACTTAAAATTAGGACTCATTAGACAGCCATATTCGTTTCCTAAACCGTTCAAGCAATGTTGAATGGAATAATGTAATGCTAAAAGAGGTAAAGATGGTTCTCACTCTTTTAAAATTATCTGATTTTAATTAAGCATTCCATCGATAACTCTATACATCCTGGCTTCGACGGCTTTCAAATTCTAATTCCTCAGGCCTACTGGAAGCCCCATTCATTCACAGCCGAAATTCATGCTATCTTGAGAGACAGGAAAAGATGTCGTTGCATTATACATGTCCAGGTAAGAAGAGTATAATTTTTTCCAATGAGGGCGTAAATCTGTACATTTGCTAGAAAGCTTCTTACCGCGTGGAATGGGGATAGGAGGTAATTTGAAATTTAATGACTTGTAGCACACTTTTGTTCAGGGCGAAGGTAAAACGCTTTTAGTAGGGATTTAATGAACGCGCGGAGGATTTAGTGCTTTCAAGGCTTATTTTTAAATAAAGGTGTGTTTGAGGCCCATTTTTAAATTAAATTCTCTCTCAAGTTTATTGCATCTGAAATGGCTGAGGAAACCTTAGGAGGTTTGGGCCTCGGGCAGAGTTGTCAGTTTTCCACAGCTAGTGCAATTAGTCGGCTCGAAATGTATGCATTCAATCATGATTTCTGCCTAGTTTAGCATCATTTAACAATCGTTAACTATCTAATTTCCCTTTCACATAATGAAAGTGGTATAACGAGTCTTCAATTATCTGGTACGATTGAATTTGGGTTCTAAACTTTCATGCTTGTGATTAATGAGTCTGTATCGACCATGAGTTTAGGGCCATTAATGTTTTAAGCCAAAGTGTCTTGAGTGCTGTTCTCACATAGGAAACTGTTTGAAAAATCTACCGGATTTGGAGATTTCTACTAATAACGGCATGACGGCAAATTGTCTATATAAGTATAATCGACTAATGAAATTCTCTGTGTTTGACTTTTCGTTCCTAAAAGACTCGGCTTCAATGCATATTTAATGGAGAAACGTGGAACCGTCAAAAGATCCGTTTACGAAGTTTCATCAAACCTAATTCGCAACGCGTTTGGTTAGTTAGAAGTCACACATAAAAGATAAATGTTATCATTAGACTTGTTCAGTTCTGTGCTCAAATATCTTCACTTCTCAGTAATGGAACAGGGTTTGCGATTGGGAACCGTTTTCGGCGTGGAACAACAAGAAAATCGATTGCAGTAAAATAAAAATAAACGGCCAAACGAAGCCGTTTGCAAATTTAATTAAAATGGGATTAGAATAGCCGGCGGAGCGGAATAAAACGGGCATTACTTACTTATTTTATACCTGCCTTTTGTGTCAAGCTCTCGAGCTCTATGCAATTAAGCATTGGGAATTAAATGGTTTTATTGAGCGACTGATTTAGCATTAGTATTACTGCTTCAGCGTTTAGCATAAAAAATACTATTTTGCAATTTCTACACCCAGACGTCATACTCCACCCACAACATACCTACCCAACTTGTTAATCAAATATCTTTTTATTTATTTATTTGTATGAATAAAAGTGCATGAAACATAAATAATAAAAAAAAACATAAACATGCATCTATAAAGCGAGGTATCATTATAATTTTTAAAATTGAACCTGAAAATCTATTGCAACGGACGCCAATCGAACAGAAACATCTGAGCTTTTATAGGCAAACCAAGTGGCTCAATATTAAAATTTCGACTCCGAATCATTATGAGTAATCCAAGAAATACAGATTTTCTAACATCGAGGTCTAATTGCCGTTTTAAATTCCCGTGGTGTAAAATGGCCCCCATGAATCGAAAGATTAAATGTTATTATTCGTGCAGTTTTATTAGTATTTGAAGATTTAACTGCCTCAGGCTTAGATCCATTCCAACCGAAACCAGTGTTAAGTTTTATTCCGAGGGATAAAGTTGGATGTTTTTTGCCTGGAAAACCCAGCACAATTTCGGTATTATAGTCTGTTTGAACGGAAGATATATTTTATCATTTAAATCCTTTTAAATTGATATTAACCATATGTATATCTGTATAGAGTGTGCCATTTAAAATAACAGACAAGTTTTTATATCCAAATCTCAGTCCAAGTCCGTACCTTCTATACATTTTTTAACGACTTTTCGACGATTTAAATCCGAGACGAGGAATGTCACCTGGTCACTGAGAGGCATCAGAGCGTGTATAACAGCTTCTGACTAGTACCCGAAGACCGGTCATAACCGTACGAACACCGACATACTTGTCAAGATATTTTTTTGTGCCTTTATGTTCAGGTAACTGCTGGAATTTTCCGCATTTTCTTTTTTTCTTCGCATTTCCAAGTCAACTGATTCGGAACAGGCTAATAAATTTGTAAAAGCCCTTCACACCACCTTTATCCTTAGCGAATATAAATTGAATAACGATCCCTGGAGCAATTTACGATAATAAATGGCCGCTATATTATACCTGACAATATTTCATTTTAACGCCATTGTTTTTCCTAGATGGCAAAAAGGGTCGCTTGCGAATCGCCTTTAAGGGTAATTGTTATGTCTTGTGATCCGTCGTTATACTACTTTAAAGTACTTAATTGAAAAGTTTCTACTTTTATACCGAACTATTGATGACTGACCGTAAGAAAGTGTTTTCTTGGAATCATATATCACAAAGAAACTTTTCAAATGAAAACACACCTATAGAGGAGTAAAAAATGTCATTTGAAATGAGCATGGTTCGCATGGTTAGAAACCGAATAACGAGTCCCGGCTACGTTCGATAAAGTGATGGATTAGTTTCGTCAACTGTTCCATTACCCAGATTGCGAGGCAAAAAGTATGTTTTTCTAATTTCAAGCTTGAACAGACAAATATCAGTAAAACAATCGCATTAACTAGATTAAAGCCAGCGAGCATGTCTATATCGGTGTTTTCCAACTCGTCGCACAAAAACCATTTTTATCAGTGAACTAAATTTGCCCGATCCATCAAATCCCCCATTTGATTTCAATCATTTATATTAGAGGGGGAAATATACTAGGAACCCATAATGGAATTAAGTACCGATAGAATAAGTATTTGAAGCTATGGGTTCCATTGGCTGAACTTCAGTACTCAGGCACTACCGGCCAGTCCCCAGGAAGAACGAGGCAGGGTTCCTAGAGATTCAAAGTAGGCGTACAAAACGCATCTTAAATAGGTTCCAGTCTAAAACG